CCCCGGACCCCCGCCGGGGCCCCGGGGCCGGGGCTCGACAACCCTGGCTGCTGGCACCAGACTTGCCCTCCATGAACTTCTAATCGCATTGTCCAGGGCAGCAGCCGCGTTGATAGACATGCTTAATCAAGAAGCATGGATGTGTCCGCGTCGACCCAAAAAGAAACGACAGTCTGGAGTCCCTGGGCCAGTCCCGACTACGAAGTCCCACTCTTAAGCCCCAAAAAGAACCCATAGTCGGGGCTGTACTGCGCTACCTGTAACCTCTCTGCCAACGTGAAAAATACGAGAAGTGTTAGGAAGAAGTGACAAATCAGTAAGTCGTACTGAAAAAAAGGAAAAAAATAGAACATTAAAACAAATAAACGTGAAGTCTCGTGAGAAAAAGAAAAAACAAATGAATAGGTGTCACCATGAGAGAAAAACAAAAACTAATCTGACAAATCAATATGTCATTTTGGAAAAAGGAAAAACGAAAAAAAAAAATTGAGATCAACAAAACAAATAAACGGGCATCGATATGTCACAGTTAAAAAATATGGGGTGGGCAGTGAATACATACAGTAATGTCAAAACACGTGGCAGAGTAGAAAAATAAAGGAATGAAGAATTAAGAAAGAAAGGAAGAAGAAAATCAATGATGGGGACAAGCGTGCGTGGAAGTTATCAATGTCATCCTTCGGGCCTTCCTACCATGATGGGGAGGAGCATGTGTGAGTACTCATTGTAACCTTTTCTGACTTGCAGGTGGAATCGTGACCGGACTGATGCTCTCCAGATTGGAAAAGGAGCGAGAACCTGCTGGTTCCGATTTTTTTTTTTTTGAAATCAAAAGAACATATGTTGTTCTGTGAAGTGAAGAAGAAACGAGCACCACCTCATAACATCGAAATTGAAGCGAGGTACGAAAGACGAGAGGAATCAAAGAGACCACAACTGAGTTTAACTGCAAAAAAGGAAATATGAGTGAGCAGACATAAATAGACATTACAACAAACAACGTACATGACGCAAGTTGCAGAAACAAAAAGCACGAAGGGTGGAGCAACAACATAAACAACTTATACCTTCCTCGAGTGCGAACAAGCTAAGCCTCACAACCCCTATTGGCAGCAAAGCTGGCGCACAGTAAAAAGCCGCTGTGACAGACACACATACACACTCACACAGATACGCACACACACACACACACACACACACACACACACACACACACACACACACACACACACACACACACATACAGAGCAGCTCAGTTCAGTAGAAAGGGTGCAGAAGCAAAGAAAGAGCTGCTATGCTACGATGGTAATAGCCAACATTTCTTTAATTGGATTTCCTTTTTTCATAGAAATGTACTCTTCTTCATTCCTCTCTCGTCTAACAGTGGAAGACGATCACTAATGAAAGGAAAAACAAACAACCTACGTGGTCACAGTAAACTGATTCATATGACCATTAAACCAGCAGTTGAGGTGGAAGCAGCATATGGACCACAACAGACAACAGCAGGAATCACAACAAACACAGCACCCAGTGCAGAGCAGAAGAGCAGAGAGCACGTCGTGAGTTCATAGCGACGTTGATGTCTATGACGTATCTGTCAGACACATACATGTGGAGCAAAAAGAAAAAAAAGAACGAAACATGCGTATTGGCAGAGGACACTAGGACTTTTTCTGTTAAGCTCTGCACGTGGTAGTGATCATATTCTTCCACGCCTGGCCATAAATGCAGTTAGATACATTTAGAAAAGTAGCCATCATATTCTTCCACGCGTAGCCATGGATATGTAAAAAAGACAACTATTATCGGCCCGCTGCCGCAGCCATGGCTATGTACCGTATTCGGCTATGTAAAAACGAAGGCTATAGTCTAGATCAGTCGGAATATCCAGGAACAATTGAAATAAAGACCTAAGTTCGAGTCTCGATACAATGACATGAACAAAACAAAATAATTCGGAATCACCTGGGGGCAACAGCAGAAAATTCCAACCACTGGCCAGTAGCAAAGCAAAAGCAGCAGCAGCACAGAGAATAATCAGCGAGCTGCAGACCTACTAGCGGGTGAGGCGCTCGCAGCGCCAATCAGCAGTCTGCAGTTGCAAGCGGCAACAACTTGAACGAGCACAAGCAGCAGCAACAAAGAAGCGAACTCCAGATGGTGAGGAAGCAGGCAAACATGAACATTTTGCAATGATTAGTAATGAGCTCATGCCTACAAGAAGACTCGTCTCTCTCTCTTAGTCCCTCTTCTTAGTCCCAAGTCCCAGTCCAAAGTCAAAGTCCCCATTCCCAGTCTGAATTGTCAATCTCAAATCCCTCAGTCATAGTCCCTGTTCTCAGTCCTAAGTCCCAGTCCAAAGTCAAAGTCCCCAGTCCCAGTGTGAATTGTCAATCTCCAATCCCAGTCCCGAGGCCGTCCCCCCAACACGTGGCTTAAGTAGGAACAGAGGCACGACGAAGGAACTGCGAATAAAAAAACACGAATAACGAACATGTAAAGATGCAACGAGCATCTGCAGACACGGGAATGGAGGAAAAAAATGAGATAAAACCAAAAAAACATAGCAGCTTGTCCCTCCACATTTGTCAGTCCGTGTTTGAATAAATGGCTCTGCGACATACAAACAGACATACGGGCACACAGTGTTGATGCGACATACACACAAAAATACGACCGTACAAATTACATAATTGAGAAAACAATAAAACAAATACAATTTAATAATTCCTACGAAAAAGTGGAGGGGCAGACACAATTCCATGGTTGGCGATCCGTCAGCCATGGCTTTCCCAACCCTTCCCCTTTCCCCCCCCCCCCCCCCCCCCCCCCCCCCCCCCCCGGTCGATGCCATCTCTTTTCCCTCCAACACCTCAACCGAACGGAAAGGGACAATGCAATATAAGCATAACAATTTTGAAACGCAAATGCAAAAAGAAAAAAAAAACAATATTGCAAGTCCGAGGAGCAACGCCTCAGCACATCAAACATATTGCCTCTCGCACGGGAGCTCAATTTCAGACATATACATGCAATGCGCATAAAACAACAGTCTGCAAAAGCTTGGAACAGAGGTTTCCGAAATGTACGAAAAGGAAACCAGAAAAGACTGCCGCACTCATACAAACACACACGTGCACAGAGAAAGACACACCCCGGATGAGAGTACCCATTTAGAGTTCCCGATCACAGTAACCGTTGAGCGTCACACTTCAGAGTCCCCGATCAAAGTCCCCGGTCAGAGTGCAGGTTGAAAGCCCCAGTTCAAAGTCCCAATTCACAGTCGTCGTTGACAGCCCCAATTCAGAGTCCCAGTTCAAAGACCCATTCAAGAGTCAAAGTTCTAAGGCAAGAGTGCAAGGTCAGAGTCCCAGCTATGAGTCCCTGTGAAGAGTCCCGGCTCAGAATCCCAATGCAAGTCCCCGTTCGGAAACTAGGATCAGAATACCGGATCGAAGTCCCCAATCAGAGTCCCAGATCGGAGTCCCGGTTCAGAGTCCCTGCTCAGAGTCCGAGTTCAGAGTCCCAGTTAAAAGTCCCGGTTGTGAATCCATGTTCCAAGCCCAAGCTCCAAGCACAAGCTCCAAGTCCCAGCTCCAACTACCGAGTCCAAGTCCCAACCAGAAGTCCCAGCTCCAACTACCGACTCCAGATGCGGAGTCCAAGCTCGTTCTCGTGGTCCAGTTTGGTTCAACACCCCAATCCGTCAGTACGCCGGTGAAACCTTCCGTTTGACAGATAATTGATAAGCAGCTCACCTTTGTGTATGTGGTCACAGAGCGTGGTTCCTCACCCCAATCAATGATCCGGCTGGCGGGAAGCAGTGGCTATGCAGCAACCTGATGCATGCACAGGGAAAGACGAAAACATAAAGGTATTACTTCCACCTTCTGCACACATGCACGCAAGAACACACAGTGAAAGCTGCAAGGTTTACCGGAGTCTGATTGCGCTTTCAGTTGGTGGGAGACGGCGGTACGGGCGAAGTTCTATGAGAAGGGGGTTACTATTACAGATTGAGGAGTCGTCGGGAGGATTGTGTTCATTGGTTGACTTTGAATTTGACGAAGCTGTTATATTGGTCACCACTGCGGGACCCTCAGACGCACCCAGATATCAAGGCCCTCTCGCGCGAGTCTGAGAGCACCCTTCCTATGTCTCGAGCGTCTGGAACCCCTACTTCTACCCTTCTTAATCTAAGTCTAGTCCTTGGTTACGAGAGGAAGGCGGCAGGCGGGATTGCAACCCGTAAGTCCGCGTCAAGACTCTGTGGGGAGTCCACCCACCGATTGCGGGAGCTCTGYCGGAABTYARGAGGAGTTMTGGAGSYARGGAACCTTCAGGTAAATCATCTTTATCTGTATAAACCCCACTACTACCCATGTTTGCCTATCTCCCTGCAGTATGATTGTTGTATGCATGCGTTTGTCCCTATGGTTTTTGTTTTCTCTTCGGGACCTAATCAGACTAACTGGAAAGAATGTGTGAGAGTGAAGCCTAAGTTTCTACTTTGTTCTGATTGAAARCAGACTAAGGATGAATTGGGGGAAGGTGGAAGGAAGGTAGACTGCATGCRTTTGACYGGGTCAACCAAAGCCTGAGCATTGTTTCTRCTGTGAATGRCTCAGGGCTATGTTTATTAGGATGTTTTCTGAAGGACCAGGCATTRTTTCYACTGTGAATGGCCTGGTCGCTGTGTTTATTTGATTGTTTTTTGGGGAGCCAGGCATTGTTTCTACTGTGAATGGCCTGGCTACCTTAGTTAACTCTGAGGGTTGTYTGATTGAAGGGGTTTAAATTCTTGTTTATTTTGAGGGAGGATTTTTKGTCTAAGGCTAAGCATTGTTTCCATGGTGAATGGTTTAGCCTGAAAACCATGCACATAATTTAAACTAAGTATAAAGGAAAGTATTTTATGTATATTTGCATGTGAACTGGCAGTTGGGCATTGTTTCTACTGTGAATGGTCCAGCGTTAAGCCATATCATTAAGAAGAGAAAAAAGAAAATACAAAGTATAAATGAAATAGTTTGGGCAAGCTGAACATTGTTTCTACTGTGAATGGTTCAGTCCCCTGCCCATATTTGCTTTTTCTTTTGAAAATAAAGTCAGAGAAATACTAAATCTTTGGATATTAAACAGCTCAGGGCCACTAGGCATTGTTTCCATGGCGAATGGCCTAGTCATCTGCCCAAAAGAAGAAAAAAAGTAGTTGTGCAACCTGTTCGTGTATATCATAAGGACAAGTTGGGCATTGTTTCCATGGCGAATGGTCCAGCTCTATGTCTTATGTAAGATGGGTATAAGGATTCAAGAACTTGACGATTCACGAACTATTTATATGGGATGAACTTGGGATGGTGAGAGTACTTACATTCGTGGTTTGGTTTGCATGTGACTGGATGGGATGACTAGTTTGTTTGGGTTTCATTACTATAGGTAGTTGTTGTAGTTGCTCGCCACGTGCTAGAGCCATAGGAGTTAGTGTCGATTCCTGCATTTTCTGTAATAACGTTTTTTTACTTAGGTCAATTCCTGCATTTTCTGAGATCTTTTCTTCTACTTGGCTTTGTATAAATCTTGGCAAGCTACTTTTCCTACGGGAAGCGCTGCCAAAATTTTTACAAATCCAAGAAGTGAGTCAACTTTTGACTTGTCATAGTTCAACTTATCTTTTCCATATATAGATTAGTATAAATATGGAAAGTCTCCTTTTCTAAAGGGAGTGCTGCCCAAATTTTTACTAATTCAGGGAGTTAGACAAAATTGGACTTTGAGAAGTCAAAGCTATTCTCAAATTCTGGACCTCGCTTTGTATAAATTTTGGGAGAGCACTTTTCTAGAGGGAGTGCTGCCGAAATTTTTGCAAAATTAAGGAGTTAGTTAAATTCAGTCTAAAAGTTGAGCTCGAGCTGTTGTTCGAGTTCGTATCTGACTTAGTATAAATCTGGGAAGTCTCCCTTTCTAAAGGGAGTGCTGCCCAAATTTCTACTAATTCAGAGAGTTAGACAGAATTTGACTTTCCAGAATTAGAGATTAATTCTGCTTTCATATCTGAC